GGTTCATGGCCTCCTAGAATACGAAAATATAATTCAAATGCACACTGACTGAACAAATACACTTTTATTTCTGGGTAAAAACAGGTGACAGTGTTGACTTGTTCAATTCTGATACATCTATAGTGGTTAACATGCAGAGTCTCTTTGAATAACAAGTGTTTGTTCACACACTTATTCATGTAGATGGCTATGTTAACAGGGACGGACATTTTGATTTTAATACGTTTGGGTAATAGTTCATAATTTTGAGCAATGTGTGTCATTAGCAGTGTTGTGCTAGTTACTGAAAACCAGTAACTAGTTACCATTACTAGTTACTTCATTTCAAAAGTAGCTCAGTTACTTTACTGATTGCTTACACCAAAAAGTAATGCGTTACTGTGAAAAGTAACTTTTTAGTTACTTACAAAATGTCTCCCATTAATGCCCTTATAGCCTTCATTTCAGTACTGTTATTGCATTGGAGAATAATACAATCTGTTGATCAACTTGACATGCATTATATGCAATCTGGATTGCATCAATATTAGCTGGCTTTCCATTTTTGTATATTCTTTCTCCAGGTAGTTGGAAAAAGTTTTCCGTCCCATATGCCGTGTGCCGCCCGGGACATGCTATCATGCTAACTAGCTCCCTGAAAGCGGGTGACTCCACTGTAGCAATAGCCTGCATGTGTTCTACAACATACCGTGCAATGGCTTTATCGACTTTTCCCTGGATAACAGTCCCTTGGGCGTCGGCTGAGTCTGGGTCTGTGCCGGTCTTAGTTACTAGCTTCGTCCCAGCATGTTGTTTTTGCAGATGTTTTAAGAGATTTGAATTACTGGTTTGGGCAGTAGATAGGATCTTTGACCTGCCAAGACACAACTTACATTTAACTAAAACGTTCTTTTCTTTGTGCTCGACAAAAGTGAAATAGTGAGAATATCTCCAGGTGGAGAAACTAGACTTGAGCTTCGCCGCCGCCATGATAGTCTTGTTAGTAAACAACACAAACACGCCCACAGCGCGTCTCCACATGTGACACAGGAAGTATCTAAGTACATTTACTCAAGTACTGTACTTAAGTACAGTTCTCATCTCTGTCTGGCTGTTGACTATATAAAAAAACTAACGCAGTAACGGAGTAACGCACCATGTAGTAACGGTAACTGAGTTACTGAATTTAAAAAGTAATGCATTAGAGTACTAGTTACTGCCAAAAATAACGGCGTTACAGTAACGCGTTACTTGTAACGCGTTAGTCCCAACACTGGTCATTATGGTCATTTGTTTTCCCTAATGTCTGCCTCCAATCTATGAATGCCACAAGTGTGATGTTCAGGGTCCAATCTTATGTTATCTTATTAATCGGTGTTGTTGTGAGATAACATTAGCATCTTTTCACACTGCTGCCTTCACGAGTATGTCCCGTATCTGCTTGTGTCTATGTCGCCATTAATGATTCTAAGGCAGCTGAGGGGACACAACTGCAGGAAAATCAATACCTGGAGACACACTCCTAGTCACAACACACACACACACACACACACACACACCACACACACACACCACACACAACACACACACACACACACACACCCACACACACACACACACACACACACCACACACACACACACACACACACACACACACACCACACACACACACACACAACACACCACCACACACACACACCCACACACACACACACACTCACACCCAGGAAAAACAGAAACCACACAAATTGCATCATTTATGACCGTCTACAAGTCGACTCTCCCACAAGTACGAAAACTCATCACAAAGTCATAGAATCGCAGAGTGTGTGTTTGAGACGTCTGATGTGACGATGGGAAACGTGACAGTCGTTTCTGCCTCATCTTTCAAACTAAATCACAAAGCGTGTGTGCACATACGAGTAACCTACTTTTCGATCTCGCTGTTTTTACAGGTGCGCGGGGCGCAGGAGGAAGAGCAGGAGGATGAAGGAGTGCCGGGGTCTGTCTTGCTGCTTTCTCCGTTGCTTGTTGAAGGCATCTCTGTAAACACAAACAGGAGGCATGGTTAACACTGGACAACAAGCTTCAATTAGCATTCAACAGCTCAATGCTACATTCCTAGAAACTGTCAAAATGAGTAGATTAAGTGAAACGAATATATAATAATATGCTTTATAAATACAAGACTTAATTTGACAACATCTTGGCTCTTAAATTGATTAACTGAGCTCATGACTTGTGGTAAATGTTACACCTATTGAATGGGGGATTTGTTTGCTAATAAAACCTATGGCACTTTTGACAAAGATCTATCTTTTCGTGTGAGTAACTATATACACTTTATATGAAGTCCTGCAATACTAAACTCTTATTAATACATTTGTAAAATGAAAATCTTACCGTCGCTGGCCCATTTGGAGCATTCAGGCGTTATTCTGTTAGAAGGCATCCCACCGCTGCAACACAGAGACACAACAGTTAGTATTAACCTTTAGGGTGCATTCCATTAGCCAACATTAGTTAACTCTGCTAGCTCATTGTTAAGGTTTCGTACTTGAGCACGGCCCCCCGTAGCGCCTCCCTCTCCCGGGCCTCCCCCTGGTCCTCCCCGGCCCCGGAGCAGGGGATGATGTCGGCCTCGGTGTACTGCGCCTTGCCGTACTCCAAGGTGTCGTCTCCGTCCACGTCTAAGTCTGCGTCGCTGTCTGCCGCGCTCTCCTTGACGCTACACGTGGCGAAACCAGTTCCTGTGAAAGTAATTCAAAGACCATTTTTTAGGATTATTTATATTTCACATCACTAACCTTGGAAATTGTGTGCGGGAGTGTGACAGAACATTGGTCCCAAGTGCTTTGATATATTGAAAAACTGGTGATCAGCTGAATTTTGAGCCCACATTTAAATAGTACAATCCCACAGCTAATCACTCGTACTCCAACGCAATGCAGTGAGGTTTGTTCTAAAAGTTATTGAATGAATTACATGCTAATTGCTGCTCAAAAAAGCCCCAAAGTGAAAAAACACTGTTATTGTGGCACATGAAAATAGCAATGTATAGAAAAATCAGAAGGGGGCATTAGAAATCAAAACACTGTTTTATTTTCAAATATTTGTACATACTTAATACATTTTTAATTACATATTGTTATCATTACGTATCATTGTATCCCTTAGCTGAAATATGGCTATAATTTCTTCTTTTTTTAACTACACAACATAACTAACTTCAAAACTTCATCCTGAGAAACTTTAAGATCTTACATTTTGCTCAGTTAAAACTTTACTTTTTCCCTTTCCAATTACAGGTCTGTAGATGGGAAAATATTTGGTCAGAAAGACAGCGTTCAGACATGGGTGAACTGATGAAGACTGACACCTCGCCCATCAATCCCTGAGAGAAAGAGAGGGCGAGTGTGTGTGTGTGTGTGTGTGTGAGTGGCACTTCTATAAACCCAGTGATAAACGCTCAGACAAACCCTCACCGCTGCCTGACTGCTCCCTTCAGCTCCACTTAGCCACAGAGCTGGCTGTGTGTGTGTCCGTCACTTAAGAGGCGTCTCCTCAGTGTTTGTTTTAGACTGTCTGTCCCTCTGTCACTTAGGACCCTTCTCTCCAACCCCCTTGAAGGAGTGTGTGTGTGCACGCACGTGTGAGTCAGTCTACCTGTCACTTACTTGTGTCTATCTACCACGCATAGGTAGGTAAGGTGTGTGTGAGTTACTATTTGAGCACTTGCAGGTGGGTAGGTGTGTGTGTTTCACTTGAGATGTGACTGAATGTTTCTGTGTGTGTGTGTGTGTGTGTGTGTACCAGTGACAGGCTGACAGCCATCTTATTTACACCTATCCCAATTTCTACAAGCTCTTAGCTGGACTAGTGTGCTCTGTGTGTATGTGACAAGTGTGTGTGTGTGTGTGTGTGTGTGTATATGGGACCAGATTGAAGCTCGACACCGTTGACAGCCATCTTATTTAACCCCCCTGTCCCAGTATGTGTGTCTCGATACTTGACTCCCTCTCAGTGCACTACACTGTTTCACTGTGGCGTCTTTGTCAAAGTGCAAATCAGCCGCTCTAAGACTCGTCTTGGAGGAGATTTAAACACCTGCTCCTCCTCCTTAACTGCAGAATTCATTTCAGTCTTACTCTAGAAAATCATTTTAAAAATGAGGCTGGAGGAGAATGAATGTGAGTGTCGAACGGTAAAGCCAGCAAGATAACACGCGCCACCAATGCTAAGCTGTTTTACTACAGGGGCCATGGTTTTTAGTGACCAAATAAAAAGGACCTTTTAACTTTTATTTGGTCTCCGCAGCAGAAGGGATCATACGGTAACAATGGGCACGCAGTGTAAATCTCTGCTCCGCTCGGCTACTGAGGCTTTAGTTACTCAGGGCACAGCAGAAGGTGAACAGAGCACGTGTCACATTATACCTGGTTGAACTACATTCATTTTTTCACTGGCAGATTTTCTAATCGCTAATTAGTTTGGTTAGGGTACAGTTCTGTGTTTCAGGGAACTGCGTTTTATTTCTGACCTGTCTTTCACCTACTACAACCTTTTGTTGACGTATGAGGTCCATACTTAGGTTCACACATGGAGGTAGGACCAATGTTCTCTGGTCTTTTTACATCTAACCTTAAGCCAGTCTACCCAGAATGCCTTTGTCAGAAAGATTAGGTACCAAGCTTTGAAAGGCAGGCTTCTTATCCAGCAGATGTACATGAGAGTAAAACAGATATCCTTTACTGCAAACCACCAATGCTTTAGTGGTTGGGGCATAATCTGATCAACTGATTTCACTATAGATCTTGTGGCTAGTTAGCCACAATAACTGGCTTCAAGAATTGGAACTTGGGCATGTGGGTAGAGGTTTTTCCAGATGTTGCCTCAACCTCAAAGCCACAGAGATGCTCCAGAATCTGTGCTTTGATCATAAACCCGACATAAGTGGATCCATAAAAACCTGTAGCCTGAGGGATTATTAACTTTACAGGTTCTGTACAGGACTGATCTGAGGATCAGTTATGGGTCTAAAATACAGTTGAGAATAAATAAAACAAAGCACAAGACAAAGACTTTTCAACTAACCGGGCAAATATACAGTATATTACAGTAGTATATCGATGAGTGTCGATTTTTGTGGGGTGATTTTGGGTCTGTTTATTTAGTTAATTTAATGGTTGTGTGAGTTAGTCTTTTAACTGTTCTAAGAATAACCAAGGCTGCTTTGATGAATGTATGTATTTCATATTTCTAAACTGAAACTGTGGCCTAGGTCAGGATGCCGCAACACACAGAATTGCACGAATATATCTTCAATAGCAGAGGTTGACCAGTTGGACTATTTTTAAATATCGCCCAAACCTTAAAAGATGGATATGATGTGTTATTTTCTTACAGATATGTGGCCTATTTTAGCATAGACAAACTGTACATGTCTTAGGTGTTTTAAATGTGAGCATATGTGTGGCCCGCTGTGTGTGTGTGTGTGGTGTGTGTGTGTGTGTGTGTGTGTGTGTGTGTGTGTGTGTGTGTGTGTGTGTGTCGGTGCTTCTATCTGTCCCTCTAAGCAGTCTTGGCAGGCCAATCTAATCTGGCCAAGGAAAGGTCAGCCCCACTCTAACTGCCTTTCACTCACATTATGCACCCACATCCCACCCCCCACTTTCCTTTTTACCCCTCCACCTCTTCTTATTTATTCCTCACCTTATTTCCCCTCCTTTTTACGTCATCACTCCTTTCTTACCTTTATACTTTCGCATTTATCCGACGTATCCCCTTTCTACTAATGTTCCCTTCCTTGTGTTTTTGACTGTTCTCTTTTACCACGTTGATTTTTCTCTCTACTCCTGTATCAATTGTTCTCTCCCCCCCCCCCTTGTACCAGTTTCCTCTCTTTTTCCGCTTGACAGGCGTGATCAATACACACACTTCCCGACTCCTACAGGGCCATCCTGGTCTGCCTCATTATCATAACCATCTCCTGAATACCGGTGACTCTTAACATGCTAACTACATGTTTTATCCTCTGATTTACATGTTTGCGACAGCGAACACACTCAATCTACATAGGTGTCACCTCAGCGCTGCTACAAGTCAAGATCTGAGGAGGCAGGCGGGATCAAAGACTCATCAGGCTGACTGACAGCCCGGATCAACCAATCCACCGACCTCGCAGACATTCCGTTACCATAGCAATTATCTGGACCCTCTAAGAAGCAGAGAGGAGGAGAGTCAAAGGTCATCACACTATCTTTCTGCCATTTACAGGTCAGAGAGAGAGAGATGGGGAAAGGGAGACAGACACAAAGACGGCCATCTTTGAAGTCCATTTACAAAGCGCAGATTTTCTCCTCTCTCTCAATCCCTCTGGGCCATCTCATCCTGCAGTAATCCCCCTCTTCTTCTCCTCCTCCGTCTCTCAGGACGGGCTGATATCAGACCTCTGGATCTGTCTGCCTCCCTGTCTGCGGATAAACTCACAGATCAACCACTCTGTTCAATGCCTGGTAATGCCAATGGAAAGCACTAGAGAACCAAATATGAATAGGAAAAAAACTAAAAATATGTTGTATTCAAATGTATTTTTAGTTTTGGCTGTCATTCCAGCCAAAATGTTCATAATTGATTACTTGGTGAAATATCATTAAAGTATTGCAGTTGTTTGCTGGATATCAGGAACTTGAAGTGCTATTGGACAATAGAACACTTTGAGCACCCCCATTGGGCTCTGAAAAACTTTGTACTGAATTTGAAAGTATTCCCTGGCATCGTGCTTTCAAAATGATTCCATTGTGAAAGAACAAAAGTGTCTATTTGCAGATCTCTCAGAATGTCTTTTTAGCCTTGTTAAACTATTCTTTAAATATTTCCTCATTGTAATCTACATTTATTGGAGTTTAAACTATTTTATTAAGGATCACTTTTTTGTGCTGCTTGATTGAAGACAAATAATGAGAATAATTGATTTGATATGAAAATAAGGGCTTTGCACCCTTAAAGTCTGAACATGTTTACGTTTTGGAATCTGTACAAAAACTGGGCTCTCTTATCGGCGCTAATATCAAAACAATTCAAATGGCACAATCCAAAGTGCATGACATTATGATGAAAACTTGGGCCACATTTTTATAATGTATCCCGCAAGGTTAAGAAGCTAAATCTAGTTGCTTTCCGGCTCATAAAACGGACACTTGGACCGACAGACAGTCCACTAGACAGATGAAGAAGGCTCTCTGTCTGAGCTGAGGCTCCTTTCAACCTGGCTAAGCCGGTGCGAGACACAGGGAAGTCTTCCCTCACACAGAGTTCAATCATAAACGGATCTTGTTCGATTTTCCTCCCTCCCTCCCTCCTCCCCTTGAAAGGGCCCCGTTCCCTCTGCCTTTCTTCCTGGCGCTCTCAAAGGGAGGGAAGGATGGTGGCACTTCACAGAGGGATAGGCCCTCTCTTCATGCCACCAGCTGAGGAGACCCCCTGCAACATCTCTGTGTGCGTCTGGCCCACGCCGGCCCTCCAGAGCCTGCCCGATTCAGCGGCGAGTGTTAGAACCACTGAGGAGCTTTCAAGACAAAATCCACCTTCTGAGCCCTGAGCAGAGTGTGTGAGTGTTTGAAGTGGTTCTCCCCAGGCCACCTCAGTTAAATGTGTCACATCACAAGGCCCCCTATTAGAGAGCGGCAGAAGGGTCCTGTGTCTGCTCGCTTTAACGACGTGAAAGAGAGACGGAGCGCCGGGGAGATGGATGGCCACCTCCCACCCCGCGAGCTGTTCTTTGGAGCGCTACAGTTGAGATTTCAACATTGATCTGTCTTGTCTCCTCGGCTCTCTCTCTCTGGCTTGCAGGTGAGGCTCAGCATGTGTGTGTTTAACAACGGATCGAACAGGCAGAGCTGGAAGGGGACAGATGAAAGCCGAGGCAGAGGGTTTGAAGGAGCCTCTCAGAGATGACAACGGCTCTTTACCTCCATCTGTGCACATCTTGAGGGTTTGCCTCCAATGTTGTTTTTGTATCCACATATTACAGATAAACACACGTGAGGCCACAATGGGGGGCACAGTGCGGAATAAATCATCTAACCCAAAAGTCAAAGTAGATACATTTATCTTTTGGGTTTTTAACATATTATAGACAAAGTGATGAAATAAAGAAATAGTAAGTATATATATCTATCTATAATGAAATTATTTGTAGCTCCATTTTGCGTTCCCAACAGGAACTTATCACTGTTATATTCTACAGACTTTCCAAACAATACATCTAAAAACTATAAAGACATTAACCAGTTCATTATAAAGCATAGGCTGCAGCACTTTTAATTAGAGATGTCCCGATCTGATCACGTGATCGGGGATCGGAGCCGATCACATGATTTTTAAAAGATCGGAATCGGGAGAAAAAGATCGGGGATCGGGAATCCTTAAAAAAATTATTTTATTTAATGTTACAAAACAAAAATGACCATGTTCACGTCTTAAAGTCATCCTGAGGCCTTAGTTTTGGTTTAAAATTACACAACATCATGTATGTGTTGCTTCTTTTGGGCTTATTTTCAGACCTGGTTGCTTATTTCTCTCAAATCTGGCAACAGAGTGGGCGCAGTGTCTAATAGTAGCAGTAAGCTAACGAGAGGCTACGTTCAGCTGGTGACTCAGGAGTCGGGACAGAGCAAATGTCAGGAGTTTGGAAGTATTATAAAATTGAAAGCGAAGGCAGTGTAACAGCCAGATGCAATGTTTGCAAGAAGGAGGTTCCGAGTGGTGGAAAGAACAGAGCTACGTTCAACACGACCAATCTAATACGATTGTTTGTTTTTTCTTTTTATTCCCCGTTTTTTTTCTCAAATTGAATTTATTGAAATCTCCAATATCAACGTAAGAGCTTGTGCCTCTTCGGGGGGTGCTAACACTTAACCATAAACGCAGTGATTCCCACAGCATGTTAATACTTTGGGGGGCCCCCAAAGTATAATGGCTCCCCCCAAAGTATAATTTGTGTGTTTTTTTAATTTTTTTACTCAGTGAGCACTCATTTGCATTTGCATTGGTGGCAATGAGTGCTCAGTGAGTAAAAAAAACTTAAAAAACCATAAATTATACTTTGGGGGGAGCCACCCATAAATTATACTTTGGGGGGAGCCATTATATTGGTAAACAGCCTCTATGGGCGCGAGTCCAGACCCACTTTTGGAATCAAATGATGACGTCAGTGGGATTATCTCCTTTAACAACTCCTAAGCATCCCCGGGACAACATCACTAGCCCCGCCCCTAAAAAGGTGTGAACTTGAGCCAATCAAGGACTACTACTACTAGGTCGTCCTTAGACGAGTTTGCCAACGGGTTCGCCAATCCTCACGGTCCTCCATACACCCGGCCAGCTCTGTGGAGCTTTCCACCCCCACATCCTTCCTCAGCACCTCCACGTATGTTGGCGTGGGGCGCCCTCTTGGTCGGTGCCCGTGTGTTGGCTCCCAGAATACTAACTTGCCAGCTGGAAGTTCCTGGTGTCGATGGCAGTGACCTGCAAATTTCAGTTTCCTGGATGCCACCTTGTCACTCAGCCTGGGTAGCCCACCAGGACTAGCCCCGCTCCTACATTTTTGAGAGATTTCTGAGGAGATTTTTATTCACGCAAGCCCCCCCACACCACCCCGAGTCGTTCCCCCAAAGTATATTTCATTTCTGTGGGAATCACTGATAAACGTTATCGTTTACTTTCTCCGTCTTTATATGTAGATATTACTTTTCTCCGTTAATCTCCGTCACGTTGTTTCCAAAGCAACAACAACTTCCTGTCAACCGCACTACCTCTCCTTCAAAATAAAAGCATGTCCATAAATAGGAAGCCAAGACAAATTACACTTAAGACATATACAACTGCAACGAAAGTAACCAACACAATGCAATATCCTTTTCAATTTCAAAGAACACAAATTGGGTTACATTAACAAATAACTATAAAACAACAATACTGTAGAATAAAAAAAATAAGTGGTTCGCTGCTGATTACTATTGAATTGTGTTATTGTGTGTGTGTAAGATGGAAATATAATACTTTATATAAATAATGTTTATTCATGTTATGTTAAGCTGCTGTTGTTCATTGCATTAATACTAGACTAGTTAGTCCTAAGGCTAGAATATTGCACTAAGCCACATTTTTATTTTATTTTATTATTTGTGACTGAATGTGAATGTGTGAAGCTAGTCAAGCTACCTCTTTCCAGTAGAGTTATTTTTGTTTTGTTACTGCACTATTTGCACTCAATTTGTTTACATGGTTATTTTGTGGTGGACCACTGATAAGCTTTATTTTGTTTTGATCCAATGCTGCACAACTGAACTGATCCAATGCTGCTGTGAAAAAAAGAAGCTATATCCATGTTAGATAGAATGGATAGTTGGGTACTGTCATTTAAATAAAGAAAATAACCTTAAGCGACAACTTGAATGCTTTTTTTTCTCTTAATGCATTGCATAAAGATCAGAAAAAATCGGTATCGGCAGATTGTCAAAATCAAATGATCGGAATCGGATCGGGAGCAAAAAAAGGTGATCGGGACATCCCTACTTTTAATATGAGTAAAGAAATATGTTTCTCCATTCTGGTCTTTGGGTGAATCAAGTATATACAGTAGGGCTGCACGATATTGAAAAAAACTGACATTGCGGTTTTTTGTTCCCCTGCGATATATATTGCGTTTTTTTAACCTGTTAAGCCCCAAGGTCCCGGCGGGTACTTTACTTTTTTTTTCACGACACTGTCTCAGGGGATCTTAATATTTAAGAACCTATTAATGTGTTATATCAGATTAACGGGAATAATCTCAGCTAACTGACGATACAAACCATTTTTACCAAAACAAAACACAAGTCTCATAAGAAGCATCTAAATGACCCCTGAGCGAAAAATGCTAACGGACTTTGGCACAGAACTCAAGATAAAAGTACCCTTATTACTTATCGTAGCTGCACATACAAGATATCCGATTAAAGCTGAGGTTCCACAGATTATATAGGTATTAGTATCATCACTGAGTGATCTGAACTCGCGACAGGGGAAGCAAACACAGACATCACAACACGTACCTTTACGGAGCTTCTAGGGGAGATCGTCTCACCGTAGCTGTCAATCTGATCAAAAGACGTGTTCAATGGCTTTAAAACGAGAAAAAACGCGGCTGAATCGGTTAATCCATAGGTTTTTAACGTCTCTGTATACATATAATAATTTCATTTATAATCCATAATTCCATTTTTATGTAAAAATCGCAGAGCAAAAGTTAGCTGCTAATGGTAGCCACCAGAGTGGCTGCTGCTTCCGGTCTTGGCTATGCGGCAGTCTCACACACACATTACCAAATAAGGAGTGAGAGTGACGCGTAGCCAAAACCGGAAGCTGCATACACTCTGGTGGCTACCATTAGCAGCTAACTTTTTGTGCTCCGATTTTTACATAAAAATGGAATTATGGATTATAAACAATTGCTTCAAAGCCACAGATACATTATTAACCTATGGATCAACCGATTCAGCCGCGTTTTTTCTCATTTTAATGCCATTGAACACGTCTTTTGATCAGATTGACAGCTACGGTGAGTCTGTGTTTGCTTCCCCTGTTGCGAGATCGGATCGCTTAGATACCATACTTAAATAATCTGTGGAATCTCAGCTTTAATCGGATATATTGTATGTGCAGTTTCAATAAGTAATAAGGGTATCTTTATTTTGAATTCTGTGCTAAAGTGCGTTAGCATTTTTAAAAAAAATGAATAAAACCGCACGTCCCTGCGGTGTGAATATCGCGCATGCGCATATCGCGGTTATCGCCATGACACGATATATCGTTCAGCCCTAATATACAGTATCATGTATTTCATTAAATCATTGTTGTACTACTTGCTCAAACAAGTTAAGCATAAGAACATTAAGTGAAATGAGTTTGGCTAAACATAAAATCACAAGTTTGAAAAATGTGAGGAGCAGAAATGTGACAGAGAGCTATCAGTGTGTGTGTTGTGTCACAGAGCAGCCGTGCTCCCCAGTGACCAGCCCTCCCATACAGCGCCATAATTGCATTTCTGGACACCCACCCACCCACTCAGCTCAGCTGGGCTTGGCAGGACCCCCACTCCCGCGGGGCGAACCTGGAATTCCCCTCAGAACACTGCTGGCACCATTGTGGCTCCCTGGTCCCATTCAACACAGCTGACAACAGACTCAACACTGAATTGCTGGCTAACGTGTAAGAAGGGGAGGTTTGAACTGAAAGGTAATTACACCAATGATGGCTGAAATATGTGGAACATTTTAAAATGTAAATGCGTAGAAAGGACTTCAAAAGGTGTGAAAAAGTTTACAAATCGCAAAAATCGTAAAAGCATTTAAATGCAGTGTTCCCAGAATGTCAAATATTACTAAAAAGGTTTAAAAGCTATGAATTAGAAAAGCTAGCATGCATATCCTACATGAGCTAATGGTGTTATGATGTTTGAAGGAAGTCGGTGTGTTGGAATATGTGAAGTGTGTGTGTGAGTGTACCTCTGAAGCCTCCTTCCAGCAAGGCTGTGGCTCTGATCCTCTTCTGCCCCGCCCACTCGTACTCCTCAAAGCCCCGCCCATTTTCTCCATCTGCAGAGTCATCGTCACCTAGCGTACCCTCACGCTGACACAAACAAACGGACACATGTTAATGAAAGCAAACATTTCACACATTTGGTGGCACTTTGTTCTTGAAAAATAGTGGTGAGGTGTAAGAAAGGCCAGATCTCCATAGGACGCGTTATCTGTACTATACCATGAGCAGCTGTGATGAGCACTACTATCGTCCGTTGTCAATAAAACAAGAATACATTTTGTTTATCTAAATAACATGTTTTCATAAAAACTACTTGAACCTAGCAACTTATTCAGTGAAAGCTCCTACTACTTCCTTCTTCTGCTGGGAGGAATCTTCTGTGACATGTTATACCTTTTTGTTCCTATACTCAATATGTTTTCAACAGGACGTAAGCTTTCTCTGCTTTCAAATTAAAGGCCTTTCCATCTTGGAACAGATTCAAATAAATGCTCTGTTTAGCCAAAAGAAGGCTGTTTTGTGGCCAATTTAACCTGCTGTTTTGGACTGAAACATGTCACTAGTTTCAGTACTAAGAATAACAAACCGCTCACATGGCATGGTACAGCACTTTAACGCCTAGAGTGCAAAAGAGTTATTAGTGATTCTACAGCTAGTGGAACAGAGAGAAGGCAGTGGGGTGAGAAACAAGTGGATTAGAGGTTAGTGGTAACGATTTGTTGTCTTTTTCGTGTATTCTAGGAAAGAACAGAACTGCTGAGCATCTACAGGAACGAATGACTGGAGACTAGGGCTGCTCGATTATGGCAAAAATCATAATCTCGATTATTTGGGTCAATAATTGTAATTGCGATTATTAAATGCGATTATTCATTGACTTTGAAAAAATCCATTTATTGGAGGAAAAAATGTGAACAGTATGTTTTTAACAGTTGATTACCCTGAACTTTAAGTATAATTCAACTGAAAAACCAAAATTAATAATTATTTAAAAAAAAAAATCGTTTTATTTCGATTACGTTGTTTTCGTAATAGTTGCAAGCCGTAATCGCGATTAAAATAAGATTAATTGAGCAGCCCTACTGGAGACCAAGTTGGATATTATAGGCTGTCGTTGGGGTGACATCTACATACAAGAGAGAAGACTTTTAAAGTCTCCCTGCGTGGGCTTCATCTTCAGCAAGCATAGGCCAAATTGGTCCTCATCTACAGATATGAAAGAGGTAACTGATCATTCAGGAGACGCATGCCAATGGATAAGATGCAAACTTGTCATATGGGATAAACCAAAGCCTTTAGCTTAAATGTTGTTGTGTCTGCTTTGCTACATCAGCATTTAAGACAGGTTCATATTTTAACTTCAGCATATTTAAACTTCAGCATGTAATTCACTAATTGAATAGAAGCCACCAATCCACATTCATTGTAATAATGGTGGTAACATATATTTAATGACGCAGGTATTGCTCTCGCTAAAATGACCACTATTCCAGTTGATCGCACTCTTTGGAATTATCTTTTTGGGAGTTATGTGTAGAACATTTCTTAATGGCAGTTGATAATGCATTGCTGTGCACTCGCTTTAAGTTTGCCACAGCAAATTGCACTCCTAGATCTGTTTCTAATGTGAAAACTATTTAACCTACAGTAAAAAATACTGCTTTGGAGTAGGGCTGAACGATATACCGTGTCATGGCGATAACCGCGGTATGCGCATGCGCGGTATTCACACCGCAGGGACGTGCGGTTTTATTCATTTAAAAAAAAAAAAAATGCTAACGCACTTTAGCACAGAATTCAAAATAAAGATACCCTTATTACTTATCGAAACTGCACATACAATATATCCGATTAAAGCTGAGACTCCACAGATTATTTAAGTATAGTATCACAGCGATCCGATCTCGCAACAGGGGAAGCAAACACAGACATCACAACACGTACCTTTTACGGAGCTTTTACGGGAGATCTTCTCACCGTAGCTGTCAATCTGATCAAAAGACGTGTTCAATGGCATTACAACGAGAAAGAAAAAACACGGCTGAATCGGTTGATCCATAGGTTGATAATGTATCTGTGGCTTTGAAGCAATTGTTTATAATCCATAATTCCATTTTTATGTAAAAATCAGAGCACAAAAGTTAGCTGCTAATGGTAGCCACCTTGGTGGTATGCAGCTTCCGGTTTTGGCTACGCGTCACTCTCACTCCTTATTTGTTCATGTGCTGGTGTGTGTAGAACTTCCCCTGCATGCACAGCAAACCACCAATCACAATCATTCTTGATCAGATCACAGCAGGCCCCGCCCCGCTAGTTTGCAGACCATCAAAAAACACTGGTAAAAAATGAGTGAGGCACAGGAGGACAATACCGGTGAGAATGAAGATTTACTTCCAAGAAGAAAAGCAACATCTGCCATCTGGAACTATTTTGGCCTATAGAAAAAAACCTATGGATTAACCGATTCAGCCGCGTTTTTTCTTTCTCGTTTTAATGCCATTGAACACGTCTTTTGATCAGATTGACAGCTACGGTGAGACATCTCCCCTAGAAGCTACGTAAAGGTACGTGTTGTGATGTCTGTGTTTGCTTCCCCTGTCCGAGTTCAGATCACTCAGTGATGATACTATATACCTAAATAATCTGTGGAACCTCAGCTTTAAATCGGATATCTTGTAAGTGCAGCTACGATAAGTAATAATAAGGGTACTTTTATCTTGAGTTCTGTGCCAAAGTGCGTTAGCATTTTTCGCTCAGGGGTCATTTAGATGCTTCTTATGAGACTTGTGTTTTTGTTTTGGTAAAAATGGTTTGTATCATCAGTTAGCTGAGATTATTTCCGTTAATCTGGTATAACACATTAATAGGTTCTTAAATATTACGATCCCCTGAGACACTGTCGTGAAAAAAAAAGTAAAGTACCCGCCGGGACTTTGGGGTTTAACAGGTTAAAAAAAACACAATATATACCGCAGGGGGGAAAAAAAAATCGCGGTGTCAGTTTTTTTCAATACCGTGCAGCCCTACTTTGGAGTACATTTACCCGAAATGTATTCCAAAATGGCATTGCAGTGCAACTTTTACGCAATAACAGCACCAGTATAGAATTGACGTCGGACTGAAAAAGTTATGCACAATCACTGCACCTCTAGATTTGTCAATGGTCAAGTCTTTCAGTTAATCCCATATGATGAGAATGCAGAACCACCACGTAAAGGAAGGTAGGAGATATTGGTTGGCATTTACACTAATCTACAGAAGTGATTGGACAGCATCTACAGGAAGAGAAGGGTTGACAAGCTGTCCCACTGGTTTCAGGGCCAAGAGTGCACTACCTGGATCAGGCATTGTTCCACATGTCTACTCATATCTTCCTCGCTCCCAGCCAAGGGGGCGCTGCACAGCGGACATACCTGGCCGCCCTCCTCAGGCTTCCTCCTCTTCATCTTTCCTATACGTGCTGGAAATGGACAGACAAGGGAGAGACCGATACAGATTTTAATGTCAATGTTTATAATCACGTGAAGGGTTAGTACAATTCAAGCACTTTCAAGGTACCAAAAAGTTCCAGACTTTCAAGCCTTTATTATCTAATCTGGATTGTTAATATGAGTATACATTTACACTCAAAATTATTTCAAAACATATTTCTTTTTTACCAGTTATTCAACAACGATAAATGTATGTTATGATTCGGTTAGTGCATTTCATGCTTGCTTATTTTAATTGGACCTCATTGGACTTATCTAGCTATGAAGTACTTTTGTATTTATACGAGTGATGTGTAGATGAAAAAACAGAATATGTTGAAACTTCAATCATTTCTCAAAGGATTTTTCTTCAAATTCACATACATTTCTAACTTGAATTGTTCAAATGAAGCATTTTTCAGACTTTGTAAGAAACACCTACAATAAAAAACCCTGAGGGATATTTGTGTTGGATGGATGTTCCTGGATTGGATATGCATTGTAATATAGCTGCCCTTCATTCTCAATGCTTTAAGTCCATAAGGCTGAGAGGAGGCGGAGCTAAACTTGGCCCCTTCTGAAATGTGTTAAGAAAGAAATGACAAGACGTGACAGTCTCAATCCCCCTTCCTCCTCTCTACATCCACACCCTCCCTCTCCTCTTGGTTCCTCCCCTGCCCTCCTGTCACAGCTTCCCCCCACCACACACACATTTAATTAGAAATTTAACAGAGCAGAACAGCCGTCATTGCGCCCCGAGTCTCTGTCGTTTTTTCTTAACTGCAAATGGCGCGCAGGGACATTAATTTTTAGCTGGGTGGGAAAGCAGAGGGGGCCAAAAGGGACATAAGGAAATACAGAGGATGGAGGGAGCGAGGCTGAAGGGTTCAGGACAGAAACGGCCTCCTCCTCCTCTCCTGACGCTAATCGAGGGGAGCGTGGTTAAATAGAGAAGGGAAGGAGCCGCTAATTAGGTCCGGCAGGGATCTCTGCCCCCCTTCAGCCGCTATACCCCACATGAGAATGATTCCTGGTTCCACATGAGGGCGGAAAGAAAGTAATGGAGGGCGAAGTTTAAACTAAGTTTCTTGTCATGGGCGTCAAGTGCAAAAGGCTGAGTTATCTGCGTGTGCCCTGAGACTAAAACCAGCACAGTTCTTAAAATAAAGATCTGATGGGATATTAATGCTTTTTGGGTTGACAAAGTGGACATGGGTGACTGACACAAGTTGGCAGGTTTTATTCAGTAGCACGAAAAAGAAAGTCAGCTGACATTTGACATCGTTGTAATCACTTCTTAAAACTCATTAGTTAACAAGCCTTTAACTAATGATGATGACACCACTCTGTTTTGCCCGACATCCATGTTCCACTTGTTTTGACTTCCTTTTTTTGTATTACTGCTGCTTTTGTTGAAAAACTGTGGCCGTTTCTCAATCTCGAGGATACTGGATTCCAAGCCAATATTTCAAGGATGCTACGTCATCAAGTGGCGCAGCAGCACCGTTCCAATCTCCAGCATACTTGGAATTCCACAGAGGCCGCGTCCTTGGTTTGGGGGAAATTTCGAGGCTGCACATGGGTAGACTTCGCGTCCATAAAATCCCCACAATGCTTTGCGCACGGACCAATTTCAAAAACCCTTGCGGAGAATGGCTGAGCCGACGCAGCACACATTTAAATGTAAGTATGTGGTGGCGTAGAACATGTGTTGGTAAATATGTTACTTTGTTACATTTGTTATCACCAACAATGTGTTCCATGAAAGTAAAGCAAGTTCATAATTAGATAGACATCGTGAGGTATTTATTTTCGGTACAGTTTATGTTGAAACCGTTAGAGAGAGTGGCACACTTGTTAGCCTGTTCCATTCTTCTTCGTTTTCCGAAGCCGTGGCTTGGAAGTATACTTGCTTCGTTTCTGAAGGAAGTGACTTGGAAGTACGTGACTACCAAGCCAGCATCCTCGAGATTGAGAAACGGCCTGTGTGTGGGTTTGGGGAACTTTGACCGCATGCTCTGTTGCTGCCTGATCGACATGTAAAGCACTTTGTGACGCTGTATCAATTAAGTTATTATTATTTGTGTTAACATGAATGAGTAATCATTCATGAAAAAGTAAAAACTGGAGCCACAGTTGTCTGTCATGTGACTTCATTAATGAGTATTGATAGATAAACATCATCAACACCACAGAAAATACACATAAGTAACTTGTGTTCCAATAAATCAAAAGCACACACAGTTCAGAAATGCCTACTTAGGTAAAAAATACCATTATAAAGACTCATTGTATAAGAGACCTTTTTTTTGTCTCACCTTGAAACTGGGCATATTATGTCATTTGTGTTAATCATTATTACATTGTATCATTCGTTTTTTAACTTGTTTTGCAATCATCTCCTGGAACTTGAATTCAAGTGTTATCCATTTATTATATTTAGCATTCATGCTAAATATAATAAATGGATAAAATGCAATATTTTAAATTAAATAATTATTTGTATTTATTTTATAAGTAAAGTAAATCATGAAAACGACCTTAAAATTAAATGGAGCCATGTACAGTATATTATTAAGCCACATTAAGAAGATAAGTGAATCAAGACGCTGTGTGTACATACCATTCAATCTTGTTTGCCTGTTTGCTCGAACTCGTAAAAACGTCTGCAGGCAGAGAGGAAAGAAGAGGGAGGAAATATACATTAGATAATAAATAAACAACATAACATGTTTACAAGTATGATAATAACTTTTCAGAATGGGATTGCTTTGGATGCTGAGACTGGGGCACTGTAAACAAACCTACATGTCTAGTGATCTCCACATCCTCCATGACTCTGAGGCTTCACCCTCAGCTCATTCTATTGCCGCCAAAACTCACTGCTGCAAACGACCAAAGTGTGTTTCCAGATAGTGTTCATCGCTGCAAACTAACGCCAGTTTCTACAATTTAATACGGATGGAAAAGGATTGAAAGTGGCGCTTCGAGTCGGCAAATTCTGCTCATGTCCGACGCCATGTTGGCTTGTTTTGATCACGTGACGCTCTGGGGACGGAAGTGAGGAAACGTCACATGTTGTTCCAGATATCAACCGCTAGGGGGAAGCAACGAGTTTCTTTAAATGCTCTTTTTATTATTGGGGTTAAGAGTTTTACATAGCCTGCACATCTGTTATACTCCTGTAGGACTGTTTATTAAATATAAAAAATAAGGAATACAACATTTTACTTTAAGATATTAGCTTGGCAGTGGTTGACTTTAACTTATTAACATTTTGAGGTTCTTGTAGGCTACTACTAAAGCTAGTTGAGTAGCACTTGAAATGTTTTAGCTCTATGAAACCTGATGTACTTATATGATTCTGTCTTCTTCAAGTTTGTATCTTTGGTCGAATGCACTTATTGTAAGTCGCTTTGGATAAAAGCGTCAGCTAAATGTAATGTAATGTACTAAACTTGATTATTTCCATGTTGTGGGAGATAGACTTTTTCTTGGAAGCCAGTATTGTATTTTTTACTCCACCACATTTAATTAATTTATATATTAATAACTGTGAGGAATATGCAGGTATGAGAAAGGAGAAGGAGAGAGAAGAAATAATATAATAATAAGAATGTAGTACATTGAACCACATAAATAAATAATAAAAACAAGAACAGTAAAATTATAAAAAATATTGTTTCAATTATATAAACTTTTTCTCATATCTTATTTTTTATATTGTTTAATATTATATCCAATGTTGAATCATCAAATGTCAAATTATCAACAAGACAGCATTTTTTCGCAATAAGTGAAAAGCCAAAACAGGTTGAGAACAACTAAATTAATCGTTTATAATGCATTGTATTTTTTAATCACATGTAGTTTTAATAATTTAATTTAAATCTGCAAATAACATTGCAGTGAAAACTTGTACGGTAGAAGTATACATTAGGGAATAAGGTGTGTAAAAGGAACTCAAAACTGGCCGCTTTGGAATGAAATTTCAGTCTACACTTATTTAAATTAATGTGGAATATTTGGGGTCTCGGGTAGTTCAGGATGCCTGGGGTGAAATTCCCTGTATCATTACCAATAATGGTCTTATCGCATTGGGAAATACATTAAGTGAGGTCAGATCTCCACTTTTGTCTTGCGGAATGTGCACCTCGGGTCTACTGGGATTCAAAGACAGAGGCCTGTACGAACGTCTTTGGCTTTATGCTGACTAAAGCATCCCACTCGCAGTTATAGATGCCCTCTCTTTGACACGGGAACAGTGAGCAGACAGCAGTCAGGCCTTCTTCTGTTCTAGCCCTCCATCCATCTCCACACTCCTTCCCTCTCTCCCCTATCCTCCCCTCCCTGCTGCCTCTTGAGTTATTGGCCCACTTGCCTCGCGTGGCCGCCACTACTACCGTATCATTATGATACACTCACTGAACAGCTGCTGATAGGTCAGGTTTTTAGAAGAATGGAAGAGAGAAAAAGCACTGACAGGCAGAGAGAAGGTGGCAAAGTCTGCCATTATGCTTCATTTTCAGGGTGGTAAAAAGAGTCACCATTGACTTAATCATTTGTATAATATAAGGTGATTTCAGCAGTTTCACTTAATGAGAAAATCTACTTTATCGCTATAAGGTCTTTATGAGCTGTGTCATCCTGATCGTATGGATGTAACGTCTGTGTGGACTTAATAGTTCGTATTTTATGGTGTAAGGGGGGAAACCCACTTAACCCGGAGATACATCATCGCCAGAAGAATTCCCCGAACAAACTTTGATGAATTTAAGAGATAAAAGCAGTCATGGTGGCTCTCGAGACATGTGAGATTTAAAGGGATTGGCCTGTTGGTCAACCTAACTGCTGATAAGGCATGGGAAAACCTACCATGATCCTCTGCTGCTACACTGTAATACATCTGTCTGATGGAATTCACTTTGATATAAAATACAGGAAGTCTCAGGGTTTGCTAAATAGTTAAATAATTGTTGAGGATGAACGGATTAACCAGATTTGTGACATTTTGTGTGAGAGAAACAGAATATATCATCTCATTTTAGAACATTGGACAGCAAGTATTAGAACCCCGTATTGAGCAATACAATGCAGCAGACTTGTGTACTGCGTATCATATTTTTCTCCCTAATTCACACTCTCTTGGCATACCTTTTTCTAAACATTATGACTAGAAGTAGCTTTATCTTTGTCCAAAAAGTGCCCAAGAAAAAATGACATTTGACACATTTAAATAAATGCAAATTGTAAAATGCGCTAACTTCCCATATTAGTGGATTGTATGAAATGTTGGAAAATAATCTAACAATTCCAGAGTGTGTGGTGAGTATGATTGACTTAGTGCCCTTGTGACCACACTATGGTTGGATATTGGTACAGACAGTAAAGATTAGTGTAAACGTAGACAGTGAGCATGACCTGGTATCTGTCGGAGTGGTGGGCGTCTTCAGAGGACATGGGCGAGACCACTGGAGACTCTCCCTCACGCTTGATGTGCACCGACAACAGCATTGACTGAAGAAAGAGAGAGAAAGGGAGAAATAAAATGTCTTCTATATGCAGATGACCCTGTTATATTATCACCTAGGAGCACAGCACAACCTGTCCTCGCTTGACAGGTGTAGCACGGGAATAATCAATAAGCATGGACAAGAGTAAGGCTGTTTCAAAAAATACATATAGATCAAAGAAAACAGATACAATTTTACTGTTGTAATACAACCTCCTACACCTCAGCTTGACAATATGATCTTTAGTTTTGAATGATTTAAAATGTGCCTATGTTCCAAAAACAACAAACGCAACATCTAAATAATAGATATATCGCTAAAAGAAAATGTGCCGGATGCTAAAAAGGTGTAACAGTTAAAAGGTCTGTTGACGTGTAAGTGCTACATTTAAAGAAAGCTGGGCAATATGTTACATTATTGACATCGGGATATGAAAGTATATGTATTTTTACATTCTGGGTATCTTAATATCGTATATCATTTTTATTTTATTTAAAAAAAAAAAAAAGTCATTTTCTGAATTGATCAGGCTTTTCTAACGGTTCAATTGTTTCCCAGCTTTACTCTGAAGACCATAACATTTTGGGAACAACTGCACCCCAATGAATCCATCCATCCATCCATCTTCTCCCGCTTATCCGTGGTCGGGTCGCGGGGGTAGCAGTTCCAGCAGAGAGCCCCAAACTTTCCTTTTCCCTGGCGACATCAACCAGCTCTGACTGGGGGATCCCAAGGCGCTCCCAGGCCAGCGAAGAGATATAATCCCTCCACCTGGTCCTAGGTCTACCCCTTGGTCTCTTCCCAGCTGGACGTGCCTGGAACCCAGGTGGCATCCTAACTAGGTGCCCCAATGAATGTAAATGATATTTTGACCTTGTGTATCAAATTATTAAATACCAAAAATATATAAATATATATAATATTATTTCTGTATTATAGTCCTACACAGAAACAACATCTGGAAATCTTTACCCTTAGAGATTTCAAATGGTGTTATTGCCTCAGCTGCTGAGAGCTCCATGTCATTGATGATGACTGTAACCTGCCTGACTTTGTCCATAAAGTCCCTTCCACTGATTAGAGCTAATGTTTATGGGACGTTAAGAGGAGTTAGGGAACAACGAGGGATTGGAAATAGAGCTAGAAGGGGAGAAGAGGAGGAGGAAGGGTAAACATCTGAAAAGGAGGAGCGTAACTGTCTGACATTACAGGACACTGCCTGTCCATAAATCTGTCCCACAACACTTTGCACACACACACTCTTATAGACACACACATATCACATAATATCCTCTTTTAACCCACTCTGTGACAAAGACAATCCAGGGAATTCCTCAAGTGAAAAAGACAAAGTATATAATGATGGGAAAGAAAGAGAACAAGGGTAGAGGTAGAGCTATAGCTGTGTGTGTGTGTGTGTGTGTGTGTGTGTGTGTGTGTGTGTGTGTGTGTGTGTGTGTGTGTGTGTGTGTGTGTGTGTGTGTGTGTGTGTGTGTGTGTGTGTGTGTGCTTATGTTTTTATGTGACTTGCTTCTGCTGTTTTTTACAAGGCAGCTATGAAATATTTGTATTTACAGTCGTCTCCTATTAATCAAGCGGAAAGGGGCAGAGCAGAGGCTTAAGTGCTCGACAGCAGTAATCTAATAATAATATGTGAGAAATGACCAACCTCCAGTGCTGCCACAGTAAATTGGACATTATGCATGATGCTTTTATGCCTCTGTAAGTGTGTGAGAGTGTGTGTGTGTGTGTGTGTGTGTGTGTGTGTGTGTGTGTGTGTGTGGGCTTTCTCTTTTAGCCAGGTTTAAGAAGGTCAGGAATCATTTACCTGGGTGCCACATGGGAATATGTTTAAGTTTAATCATTAGAATATGACATTTAACGGTGTCTGCACAGCCATTAGAAATGAAGATCTTCCAATGAAATGAGGGTCTCTTAAACCAATCAATAACATCAACATGTAAAGAAGATAGGCTTCATTTCAATCTAAATCCAGGCAATTAACACACATTTTGAAGTTGTAACTCCTTATTTGACTGAAATGACTGTGTTTTGGAAAAAATAATCATGTTGTTTCGTGTGTTAATAATAAAGGCATACAAAGAGGCCTTAAAGAGATCTTAATCTGTTCACATGCGTATGAGATGATGTAGTATCCAACATGTGTGTCCCTACAGATATCACATGTTTTAGTCTGACCCAATCACCTTAGCGTAGAATAAATAATAAGTAGTCGCGTTTGGGTTAATCTCCGATCTAATGGGGGGCGGGGGGTGCATACGGCCCTAGCAGACCCCTGTGCTTCAGACTGGCCCTCTCCTCTCCAGCCTGCTGCTGAATACTAAACCACAGCGGGGAGATGCACGGTCACGGCCGGGGAGGGGGGTCTGAGCTCACCCCTGCTCCGTCTGCCTCTCTCAAGTACAAGCCCACCCACAGAGTGTGAGGGCTGCTGTAAGCCTGGGGTCAGCACCCAAAGGTGTGTGGGAATGAAAATGGGTCTCTTGAATCATTTTGGAGCTCCTTTGTTGCATTCATGTGCACGTAGGATGTTTTTTTAATCCGCGGGAGGCCATCTGACTTTTACATGGTCATCAGTCAGAATGAAAACAAACATGGAGTGTGCTTTCAGAGGTTAGATTGAAACTTTGTGGAGTTAATTCACTGTTTTATAAAGTCACCATATCATGTGATCTATGTTAACAAGATACCTTATGAGCTGGCTTTTGCTAAAGTCAGTTTGATTTATACGCAATAGCAGGTTTTTAAAATATGTACAACATTAAAAGCCCTTTTTAAAGACAATTGTAGTGTGTTATACTCTAACATCCCAAAGTTACCTCCAGAGGAAGTTTCTATGTCATAGGTTTTCAGACCTGGCAGTTAGGAAGTCTAGATCCTCTGAAATGTGAGTTTCAGTTTTCAGGTTTTGAATCAAATCTACTATTTAGACATTATGTTACAGACACAGATAGGTCTTTTGTTCCTATAAAACCAGGGCGATCAGTGGATGCTGACACTATAGGGAATGTGGAGTTGATGGAATCATAAATCCTTTTCCCCCTTTTCTGTCTGTCTGCATCTCTTCCTCTCTAATTGGAACAATCACAGTACAGTGCCTCTTGGCTCTGCTGCCTGCTGGACCACGGGAGACTGGTACTTCTCTGTGTGTGTGTGTGTGTTAGAATGTGTGTAGGGTATAAGGCAGAGGCCAGTACAGCTGATTTCTCCTTAGTGCAGCGGAGAGGAACAGGGGCATCGACGAAACAGTTCTTACAGTATAGAACTATATATCAAAATGCCCCTCTCTCTATTTGCATTTAAGGCATTTCTGATTCCAGCAGGTGGTAAAAGGCCAGTATTTCAAACATGATTTAGACAGGAATAATTAGAGATTCTCACCTTTGGGGTTCCTGGAGTGGCTGCTCCATCCTTGGGTGAATGGTTCTTACTGCAGGCGAGAACAAAGACAAACATAGGATGCAGTGAGTTCTTCGTGGTATGCAGTGCAGTATAGAATCTCTTCTCCCATCTCGGAGATCTTGTTTTATCTTTAAAACAAAACATGACATCTTTTTTGGAAGGTTTGCACATTTATTCACTTCAATCCCTCGGCCTGTCTTTCCTCTTTTCATCCATCCATCCGTCCATCTTCTGCTACCCTATTTGATGGTAATTGAAAACATTACCGCTAATGGTAGGATTACTAGGAACATCAGCTGGATGTTCTCCACTGAGGCAATCATTCCTTTACATTTGTCTCATCACACATGCACACACAAATCGCTTTTTTTTTTTTTTTTGCGCGGTGGCAAAAGCAGGAAATAACTGATTTTGCAGTGATTTGATTTGCCAGTGCAGGCAGCCTGCGGTCGCCTTAACTCTGCAATATGCGGAGGACAATCGGCTGACTTGTAAATGTTATGTGGAAGAAGGGAACGAGAGGAGGGGGAGTACAGTGAAACAAAGAATGAAGGAAAGAAAGTAAGAAACACACGTTCCAGCTGTTTCCTGTAGCTAGATACATGTGTGGCATTTTAGATAAGAGACGATCAAATCTATAATCTTGTCTCTATCCTGCAAATAAAACCGGCACATTGTTACTTTATTTCAAATCCCTTTTCTGACACTGTACCCATCTGATACATGTACTCCCCCTCCTCAATTGATCTGTTGTTCCTTCACTTTTCTTCTGTTGACCTCTTCTCCTTCTCCTTGCTCTTTATCTGACTTTGCCTCTCTTAGCTTTTTGATGCGTGGCGGCAGGCTCGACGTTGACAAAGCGAGACAGGGTTGTCATGTTTGCATGGAGACCCTGTTAGCACCGCAGACCCCCTCGGAGACGGAATTGAGCGCGACCTCTAATCTGACAGCATGCCCTGGTAGACAAGGGGTTTCCTTTTTCAATGGCTCGATGGGTGGATAATAAGAATAAGAAGCCTTATTTATGTGTCACTTATCTGAGGGAAGATTTGACAAAGTGATGCACAGGAGCAAGACAAGGGGAATGTAAGACAGGAATATAATGCATAGCTGCGAACGAATGTGTGATGAGATAGAGGAGGGGGAGTAGTGTGAAAGTATGTTTCTCTTTATGCACAATATATGATGTGGAGAGTTGCTCGTCTTTACATTTGTAGGGATTCAAACAACAAGTGTATGCCCTCACTATTAACAGAGTTCATGTGTTTACTTAGTGAGGAACTGCATGGCTGGTGACTTCATTAGCTATAGGGAATCACCCTATGGAAACAAATTGTTTAAAGGATAGATACACTATTTAAAAAAAAGTTTTAGCCAACAACCTTACAGTCCGGATTGTTTTAGTATATGGCTGGCAGGCTCTAATCCTGTGCGACTGGATACTCTAGGTCACTCTCAAATATACTGCACTGTTTTAGGGGAATCGAGCAGGATTTGGATTTATAAATACTCAAACGTAATTGTTGAGGTAAATGTCAGGAATACTTACACACACAAAGACCATTTGAATAACAATAACTCGTCCCCTATTGCATTTGTGAATCCAACTTTGTTAATCTCGCATGCGTACATGGTGAACCAAGATTCCAAAATAGAAGAAATAGACATAGAGAAAAACACATTTTTAAAACCAGTGAAAATAAATCAGAAACCTAGAAAATAAAAAAGGGTTAGTGAGCTGCTGTGAAAGTTATTATGAACTCATTAGTTGTCATTTCCCTTTCTGTGAGTGCTCCATTGGATGTGATTGATTCCATGTGATCTGAGATGAGAGGCGAGTTAGCATATGTATACAATTACACATATGTCTGTTATGACTTAAATGTCTTTGCGTGTGCTTGGTAAACATACCTGGGGAAATGTATCATTACGGCTTCTGCTGTGTGTGTACCTGCGTGCATTTACATCTGTATAGTCTTGCTACCGTGTGTGTGTGTCCTGTATATGTGTGTGAAAGCTGAACAGCAGCTTCACCTCCACCAACAAAGAGAATAAACACGGGTGACACAGTCAAGCTGCTGTGTAATGCAGGGGAATCTGCCAACACCCCCACCTGTCTCTCCCCTTTTCTCTCTCTGTCTCTGTCATCTCCATCTCTCTTTTATTCATTACCTGGAACCTCTGCAGAGGCATCAACAATAACAGCCACCTCTACCTGCTTGTTGACAGTGTCAAACAGCGACAAGAGAAGGGGGGGGGGGACAGCAGTCGCATGCCTGCCACGATGGGAGAAAATTGCCACAATGACAGAAGGGGGTGATAGAGAGATGAAAGGGAGTGAAGAAGGGGGGGGAAGCAAAAAGAGGGAGAAGGAGATGAAATGTGAGGTGAGGGAGAGAGTGAGGTGAAGATGAAGGGAGACGAGAGAGAGAGAGAAAGAGAGGGATTGATGGGGGAGTCGGGGTGTCGCCGCCTCACTCTCGCAGCTTCACACGTCTGTTTGCCCGGTTGTATGAATTTTTGATGGGGAGGGTTATGGGGGCTGGATATTCCAGCTGCCTGCCATGTCAAAGCAAGGAGGAGAGTGTGGAAATGAGCAGCACAGCAAAGCGAAACAAACACACAGACAGATGGGAGGGAAGGGAGGAAGGAAGAGGGGGGAGACAAAGCACTTTATAAATGTGTTGTGGTAATGAGGCCTGTGTGTGAACAGGGTGAGACAGGTGAGGGTGCTTTAAACACGTCTTACAACACGCTGTCCCCCCACCTCACACAGACCTCTCTCTGAACCTGTTTAACCTAAAGGAGGGGCGAGGACCCTGTGAGGTCACGGACATGACGTACTCACCGGATATAAGGGAAAGGTGGAAAGAGATGTGACCGCTGACTAAAACACGTCAGGACATTTGAGATGATACTGTATTTATAATCAATTGATACAAAAAATAGCGTTTTTATATTTAGACCATGATTTTATTGGTTGGTCCAAAATATATGATGTCATTTAAAAGCCAGACATAGTTTTCATGTCCTATTTCAAACTATTAGAAAGGAAACTAAATACACATTTTAGTTATTTATCTATATACTGAATGCTTGTACATGTGATTTTGTTAATACCATATCCATAGCCTGATTCGTATAACATTTTATTTCTTAAAACATGGCAAAAGTAGACATTTTTTGAAGGTTGTTTACAGTTTTATATGATTTATGGATTAAAGAGATATTTAAATTCCCTTTGTAAAATCCTAATTCACTAAAATGTTTCAATAGATTTTAAAATGAATGAAAAAATCAAGGTAAGAAACAAAATAAGATTTTCCAATGAATCTGAACCGGTGAGCTGATCAGTAATTTCCCAGTTAAACTGCCCATCGTCCCAACATCTGGTCAAACCAGCATCAATCATTCAGGTGGACAGACTGAGTTTGAGTGACAGCCAGCGGGCCCTCAGAGAGACAGAGGGATACATAAGTCTCTTTTCACTGGGAGCTGGTGGAATGGATGGAAGGAGGAATGGAGGGATGGCGCTAACCTCAAGATACTGATTGCTTTTTGCCTTTTTGTGTCGTCCGCTGGAGAGGCGGGGGCTCGCTCTCATGGAGGCAAATTGATTATGGAGGAGGAGGAGGAGGAGGAGGAAGAAGAAGAGGAGTAGGGGCATGAAGAGGAGGAGGGGCTTTCGGGGTATGTAGATTACTCTGCCCCCATGAGCCACCTGACGTTTACAGGGCATGATAGATTACCATTTGTTCAACTGTGTGTGTGTGTGTGTGTGTGTGTGTGTGTGTGTGTGTGTGTGTGTGTGTGTGTGTGTGTGTGTGTGTGTGTGTGTGTGTGTGTGTGATTTCCATGTCCATACATGAGGAGCTGTGGCCCGTGAACAGGCGACACGGAGCACACATAGGAGAGGACAGGGTGGCAGTTGTAATCAAATACACATGCAAGCGAGAACGAGAACAGGAATAAAAAGCAAATAGAAACACACGGAAGAACAGATATTCAACAGAAGAGGACCGCAGATATGGGACACACACATTTGTCTCAAACACACAAACCTTCGTTCTCCATACCCACAGCTCTTTCATTCAGCGAGCGCTGGTCGTCATTAAAGGCAGATTTACTACAAATTGGACACCAAATTCCCACTGTCACTTTCAATGATGGCTGCTACCATGCAGAGAGCCGGGGAGAGGGAGAGACAGTTGTGTGTGTGTGTGGTGTGTTGTGTGTGTGTTTGGTGTTGATATAGAATCTGGTTTTGCGATATAACAAACACACACAAACACACTCTGCTTTTATTGATCTCACCCACTTCCATTTCCTTTGGCCTCCAAAGTCACACTAAGACATTTTTGTGTGAAGGAACATTTCTATCAAAAATATCTTTAAATGTTATCGCCTGCATCTCTATATCTCCTCTCTCCCCCCCCCCCTGAGGTGTGTGTATGAGTCAGATGGGTTAATGGCCAGGAGCTAAATCAGCCAGCCGTGACGTTAGCCACCATCCCATCTCTCCCGGGGATGACGCTATTTCCTTAAATAACCACATTTGTGTGTGTGTGTGTGTGTGTGTGTCCTGTGAGTGTGTGCTTACACAGTATCCCAGACCCACAGATGGAAGGGCAGACTACTAACCTTATTATTATTGAAACACACACACACACCTCCCATATTAGACAATGATGGATGGATGACGCCTCACTAAGCTCTCCCATGTTGTCCTATTTGTATTTAGTTTAAATCTAGTTTCTCAAAATCCACTTTTCCAGCCACCACATCTCCCGACCTTTATAAAGACTCTAAAAAATGGAGAATGGGCACAGTCGTTGGAATTTCGTATAATAATATAAAGTAACATTCTTGAAGATAACACTTTATTTGTATCACAGTGTCGATTCCGTATATCTTGTATTACCCCACCCTTTAAGCCCTCCTTTGGAAAAGCAAAGTCTATTCTGATTGGCTTGAGAAAAAATGTGGCGCACCGTGCAAAGGTAGTCCTAAAGATGTTGGTTGACAGAC